AAGGGGAAATGTAATTATATTGATGTGCTTTATCAATAAAAATTTTATTATTGTTATTATAATATGTATGTGACAATTAATTTGTATTAACATTTTTTTTTATCTACTTTTTATATATAATAATATTATATAAAACTTTTATGTGCGTTAAGACACAAAAAATATAATTTAAATCGTAGTACAATTTTATATTGATTCTTATTTATTTAAAATTATATAATCATTCTATATATGTATTATAAAAAAATATAATTTTGTCTTTATTGCTAAGAACATTAGGCCAAGGATGAATTTTAATTTTTATTTGTTTACCTGAATTTCAGATGTTATTCGGAGAGTAAATAAAAAATTTTAATAAACAGAATTGACCTCAAAATAGAAAATTGTAGATTTTATTGTTAATTCTTCCGTAAAAATTGATTTATTGCTATAAGTTTTCCATTTCATTATTTACTAATTGTGATATGTATATTTTGGTACATAAATGATTAGATATATTAGATTTCAAATAATTCCAATAACAAATATTTAATATATAAGGAATATATATCAGTTAGTGCTGTTAAAAGTTAGAAAAAATATAATAATATAATTTTGACGGTTATATTATAAGCTATTAAAATATTGTTTTGAAAATAAGAGAACAAATCATATAACAGAGGAAAATATAATTAAAAAAAAGTTTATAATATAGCTTTTAGCATAAAAATACCATAAATATGCAATAAACTAAAATATAATTTATACAAAAGCTGCTAAAATATTAATATACTCATATAATGGAATATATAATCATTACGCTTAAATGGATATTATAACCTGATTTTATTAATATATTTTCATAATACGTAATAATTACACGTATATTAAATATATAAATTACGTAAAATATTAATGAATATGAAACAATGTACATCTTTTTTATTCTTTTTTTATCATATATATATTATGCACTGATAATTTTTATGTCCTATGTAATAAAGAAAATGGATTATATTGATGTATATTATAAATTATATTTAAAAGTGCCTTTTCCAAAAAATAGAAAATAACAATTAAGTAAAATATGTTATTTGGTTACTATATGGCGTTACTATGCTGTTACCTTTTAATGGAATACATAATTTTATTTTTATATAATAATTAGCTGAAAGTGTTCTATATAATATTTTTAAATATATACGTTTTTGAGCGTCTTAAATGGACTATTATTATATCAAAATAAAGTATAATCTAAAAAATAATATAGTTTCTTGAGTAGAAATGCGATATTCCATAACAAGCATGTTCATTTCACCTAATTGTTTTTATAACAATGTATTATTACACAATTCATGTATATAAAAAAAAATTTTTGAACAAAAAAATTTATTCCCTCACTTCTTTGGTAAAATATCTTAGATATTATCTAATATATAAAAACGAAGCAATTTGGTACAATGATATAAATATTACAACATTTTCATGACAAAAAATATATTATGCAATACATTATTTTTAATACTTATTAAATTAAATAAGTACAACTTGTATTTTAACGTATATATAAAATGAAAAAATTAAGGCATTGATCATTATATAACGATCAAGTAGTTGTGTATTAAATATATGTCTACATCAGAATATATTACTTGATATGTGAAGGAACAAGAATTTACATATATTTTTTTTTTCACATATTATGATAAATCAATAGTAAAATATATCAAGATATATTATCTATTATTCTCGCACTTCAGTAATTTATATTTAGAAAATAATACAAAATAGATCAATTATAATAAATAATGTCATTTTTCCATATATATTTTTTTTCCAGAAAGTATATTAAAATATATATATATAATTATTTAAATATAATTATTTTCCCATGCTACTAAGCATAAGAAGAGGAATAGAAAAAATAAAGAGATGTAATTGAAGCATTGCGTACGATTAATGATGTAATAATTTTCATTTTATTATGTAAAAATTTACTCTCAATCCATAATATATTTTTTTGAATTTTGCAAGAGTTATAATCAAGTAAGCTACGCAGTGTGTTAAAAAGATTTATTATAATATAATAATAAAAATGCATATGGAATAAATTTTATTTAATAATTATTATAATCATACATCCTATATATATAATTGATCCTTATGTATACGTTAACCTTATATTCATTCAATTTATAACTTATATCTAATGTTCTTTGTTAATTTTATCTTAATATATATATAAATGATATAGATAAATTAATATTATCAATTATTCATGTTATTAAAATTTGCAATATATTATATTTATCCAATTTTTTTTATCACATCCTTCGTCGACATATGTAAAGTATAATAATAACACAATAACAACATAATAAACAATTCTTCAATTATTGAATGAAAACAAATTGAATAATTTTTTTTCATGTATTATTCAATGCAGAATAATTAGGATTTACTATATTATATATATTTTTTTTTATTATTGCATAAATTAATATCAGAATCTGTACTATTAAATACATAGTTTTTCTAAAGTGCAAAATAATAAAACTTACTTTATATACGGATTAATTAAATAACAATCTATAACTATGACAAATTTATTATTTCTATTTAGATGTGTTATTCAATCAATATGATCATATTATTATCATCTAATATAAAACATAAATTGATCATTTAATATTTATTACTTATAATATATGTTTATAATAAATAATGTCACATAATATATCATAATGATTTATAAAATATATTTTTTTTTTATTTAATCGACGTAACATATTTGATGGCACATAATATATATAATATGTATTAAAACACAATTATTTCTATTAATTTAATCTATTTAAAATTGTAGTAACCGTTGCTTTTTTAAATGTCAAATATAAATGACAATTGTATGAAAACAAAAACTACTCATAAAGCTTATAATCACTATGATAGAAAAAAATAAATGTCTCTGAATTATAGAATAGTACTCATTATATTTATTATAATATTAATTTTAATATTTCATTCAATAAGCATTTATATATTTATAAATCTTTTTAAATCTGTACGGATAAAATAAAGAAGAATGCTTTCCATCTCTAGGATACATTTTTAATTTATGGAAGTGATTTTTAAATAAATGAATAATATAGAGATTTCTATTAACATAATATAAAATATAACTTTATATTTCATTCATTTTTGAAATTGAATATATACATATAATATATGTAATCCTATTATGGATTTTAAACATTGATTAATTTTTTTTTTATCATGAAATATATATTTACGTAAACATATACTAGAATTTATCAATTATAACATATATATTGTGGGAATAATATTATTTTAATAATTCATGATAACTGCAACAGAAATATATTCCTTTAGAATAATCGTGAGTACAATGTAATTTTGCGTATTTATGAAAATATTAATGAACAACATTTTATATAAATATACTAAGATTCTTGTATAGTTAGATACATATACTATTTTGCTTGTTGAGGTCTGTATATATTTTTATTATTACTAGGTTTATTTATATAATCTGTTCGTGTATATTTATCATTTCATTATGTACATAGAAGACTTTATTATATATATTAATAGAAATATGTGTATATATATTTTGTATAAGCAAAAAATTAAAAAAAATATAGCCTTATATTTATTTTATTTTTATAGAAATATAAAGTATATAATATACCCTTTGAAAATATAAGTAAATATATATATTCATTTATGTAAACGTCGAAATCATATTTAGTATTCTTCAATTTTACTGCAAATTCAAACTGAGAAATTATTGACATTGAATGAAATTGAATTTTCTTCAACCTATATTACTTCTATAATATGTCACATATACGCGAATGGTAACCATGTTTTCTTAAATATATAACCTTTAAAATGTGCAATGATTTTGAATTATATTTATATAAATTACAGAAATTTTGCATTTATTGTGTTTATCATATATTTATATTTTCTATAAAAACATAAATCATACTTATATTACGTGTGCTAAAATAGACACACGCCTTTTATACATGAAACAAAATTGAATGTATATAATTCTTTTATATTATAACTATATGAACAATAATATAAATGTATGAGACAATTAATTTCTAAAATGATACATACAAAACAAATGTAAATAATACATTTGATAAACATAATGTTCTATTTTTTCATAGAACAAAGGAATAATAAAATAAATAAATACATTTTTTATAATTTTATATTAAATTGATGAATGTATTGACAACACTACAGCAAAATTATATAAATCATAAAAATGTATATCATTAATGAGAACAATAAAATGAATAATATATATTTTAATAAAAAAAAATGAATACATGAAATAAAAACTATAACAAATGAATGAAATTGGTAAATTTTGTCCTTCAAAGGAATTGTAATAATAACATGGCATGAAAGACTAGAGCTTATTATAATATTGTAGGGCACACATAGTATCACTCGTACTAGAAGGTGACATAAATTATATAAAAGAAAATTTATAGTTCTTAATAATTATTTATATTTGTATTTAGTAATTGTATATACATATTTAAATTGTATCACAAAATAAAATAGCATAATGTATATTAATTATATTCAATAAGTATTACAGTATTTTATATTCATACGTATTACTAAATTAGTCCATAAAATATATTAATATTGTATTTCAAATATAATATTCTATATGCTAAATATAACTTACACTTGGAAACTATCGTATTCTAAATTAAGTAAAAAATTAATATTTAGTAATAATACACGTGTTCCCTATTTATATTTTTATTAACTATACTTTTATTGCTATTACATTATTTATAGTGGAATATTACCATTCTAAATTAATAAATAAATAATTATTTTTGTTGATATATTATATGCCTTCTATAATTTTATTTATATAAATATTCCCTATAATTTTATTATATATATTTATATTTAATTTAAGCAATTATTTCCTCCTAATTGTATATTTAATAGTAATATTATTCATTGTTATATGATACATTATACATGTTATTTTTTGACATATTTCTAAATATTTCTGATACATGCAGTAAATTTCTTTCATTATCCATATTATTCCATGTATTTCTTTTCCTAAGTATTTTACTGACATAATAATATCCAAATTCCTTATACTATTCCGTAATATAAAAATAATTTATATATATAAAATGGAATTTATTTATGAATAAATTATATATATTAAAAATTATTTAGGAATTATATTATGTAGAGTACATTTGTATGAATTAATATATGATTTACCCTATAGAATACAAAAAACAAAATAAATGTTAATATTGTAATAATTAATGTAATTATTATAGGATCTCCAATATTATTTTTACAAGAACATACAACTTCTTTTTCACTGGTCTCATAATTTTGTATACCAAAATGATTATTATATTTATTTATAATCCATTTTACTGCATTTGAATGTTTATGGTCATTAATAGATTCCCCATTTTCTATTGTGCTGTTAATGAGATTATATACGTCAAATAAATTCTTCGTTTTTATAAATATATCTTTGCTTAAAGAAATATTATTGTAAACCTCGCATACTGCACTATTAACAGTAATACTATCATAATATGTGAGGAATTTTTTATAAATATTATTTGTTTGATCACTTTTTCTTTCCTTCTCAAGTTCACGATAAAGCCAATAATACAAATAATAACAATCAGATTCTGTGGAACCTTTGGTACTATCTTTTATATTTATATGGGATAAATATGACAAAACACATGAACATTGATCTGTGTTTAAAGCCTTTCCAGTTCCAACAATATCAGGAAGAGTTTTTTTGTCTATACATACATCTGTTTGATTATTATGATCTTTAAATTTTTCTATTTCATTCTCACAGTCAGGAAAAAATTGCACAAAATCATACTAAAATATAAATATAATTAGTAATATAAATAAACGTTTTTACTTTTAAGAAAAATTTATTATTTTTGTTAGAATTGGATATACAAATATTATATTCAGTTTTTTTAAATAATAATATTTCAAAAGTACAAATTTATCTTCTCCCATTATGTGTAAAAAATGAATTCACATGAACTAAATAAAATAATGAATTATTTTAGCATAAAAATGTGTAATTCTAAAAATTAAGAAACTCTGAAAAAATAAATATTTAATCATCAAATTTATAATCATAACATTTGGGTAAAAATTAAATCTATTTATATAAGCCTTAATTTTTATAAGAAGGAAAATGTAATGATTAAATTTTAGGGATTCTAATGTAGTCTCATAATATTTTTTTTTTAAAGAAAACAAAAATATAAATTAAATAAAATTTGGGATGGGTTCAGAATATATATAATATTAATATTACCTTGTTGTATAAAAATAATACAATTTTAAAGATAAGATAAATAGAAAATATATACAATAAATGTTATATATTTATAATATAAGTAAACATTTACAATTATAATTTCTTTCATATCTCCTCCTATAATTATGTAATTATATATATTTTAATGATGAAATTATAAAATATTAAAACAAACATGTTTTATGCTTTGGGATTATAAATGTAGGTAACCTTATATTAAGGATGATGTAATCTTATTAATATAAAATTTCGAAAAATAAATAAATTATATAAAAATATGACATAATATATATATCATTAATTAAATAATATATAACATTTAATACGAGCTCAATTGTAAGTTAAATTAATATTACATGTATATATAATTTTGTTTAGCTAGTAAGTGTACTATATTTTATTTCATTTGTAATCTAAATACATATATTTCTACTGTATAATTTAAACAAAAATTATATTTTCATTATATAATCAATTACTGAATCCATTTTTATATTTAAAGAATGTATATTACATATGTATAATTGCATAATTATACTAAAAATATTAGGGGAAAAATATTAGTGATATTTGGATTTGAATTATAATACAAAATATTATATAATTTTTATGTCATATCTAGCTTAATTTTATGGCACAATAAATATAATCCATTATTCATATGTAAAATTAGTATATTAATAACAACATTAATTATAATTACTATGAAATATATTTTACTTATATGAAGATAATTATCTTCAAATAAATGAATTTTCATTATGGAAATTAATAAGTATATTATAATTTTTATTATATACATTTGTAAGATATTTTGCTTATATTAAATAAATAGAAATAATATTGATTTTTTTATTGTATCTGCAAAATTATCTCACACTAGAGATTATATTATTGCTTGAGCATTAATATTTACAAGAATTCCAGCACATTATAATATAATTTTATTCCTATATTTATAATAATAGAGAAATATTCATTACTATCCTTATATAAACGTGCTAAATTTTGTTATTATGAATATGCTGTATTAATGCATTTAAAAAATAAACAAATAATTTTCATAACTTGTGAATTTAATATGTAAGTACCTTCAATATATTCATAAATAATGCATAAAAAAATAAATTAGTATAATTACATTTCTATCCATAAATTTTTTAGATAAATGAAATATATAATTATATTTATATAAAATGAATGCCAAAAAAAAAGATAAAAAATAAATATATAAAATATATTTTTCATAATTATCATTATTATATTAATATAAGTAAAATTAATTTTTCATGTTTTGATCTGATGTTTAATGTATACATTCATTCATTTTATGCTCCTTAATGGGAATAAACATAAATATTAATATTTACTTTCATAAATGTATAAATTCTGAATATGTACAAATTATATATTATAATGTTTAAAAAACAAAATTATGAAAATTTTAAAATATTCTTACGTTTGTTCGTATAGAATTAAAAAGTATGAATTATATTGTTGATTTCATTATAAAATATTTATATTTGTAGAACAATACATATTTATTTGGTTTTTTCTTACGTAGGAAAGCTCCAATATTTAAAAAATAATGATACATAAAAAAATTACACAATAAATGTTCAGGAAATTAATGTTAATATATTAATGAAAAACATTTCATTAGTAATATAAAAAGATTTATGAATACTTTATAAGGTAGTTAAATATTCTCTGTATAAGGTGCCAAAAAAAAAAAAAATGTAGTAAATATTTTTCATATAAATATAGAAATAATAAAGACTATATTATTCATTTAATCAATTTGATGTAATATTTCCTTAATAGTTAAATATCTGCTAATTTATAGATATATTTTTTTTTTTTATAAATATGCCAAAGTTAATTTCATCATTTATTAATTATATATCTATTATATTTTTAAATGATAATAATATGTAATGTTTTTATACGTCTTTTCTCCAGAATTAGAAAACCTTGTATAAAAATGTTTATATTAAATTTTTAACTTATGCAAAATTCACTAATATATCACTAAGTAAAATGATTCACAAAACTATATTAACAATTATATTTGGAATTAATTAAGATATATTATTATTCCTATTTTGCTTTATAACTATATATATGTAATTCAGTTGTTACTTATGTTTATTATAGTTATTCATAATATAATAACAATATTCTAATAAGAAGTATTATATATATTATTTTACGGAATGTATCAATTATCTATATTTAAGTTAAAATATTTAAAGTATTTTTTCTCTTTGATATATATATATTAAATTAAAGACAATATAAATCAACTGAGACCACTAATTATTATAATAACAATAAGTATAAAATTATGCGTTTTATGGGAATTAATTAATGTGTAATATACGATATATCATTAGAATTGAAAAAAAAATTTAAATATATATATTTGAATATCAGAGGATGAACAATTATGCTCGTATGTTTAAATAATAAATAACAACAATTTTTAAAGAACCCAAAGTTATTGTAAAAATATATTTAATGAATTATGCCGAGTGAATGTTATTAAACATGTTATATGCTTTATGTTGTTGATGCATTCAATTTATTATTAATTTAATTATTTAAAATCAGTAATATGTTCAGTAAAAATATATTTATTATTATAATTTTGTAAATTAATTTATTTTATCCATTTATGTGAATATATTTAAGCTTGAATAAAGACAAATTGTAGTAGCTCAGCATCATAAACTAAATTATTTTAATATATAAGAATTATTAAAAGAAAAATTAATGAAACCTGTGTAAAAAGGGATCAAGGAAATATAAAATGATTTTTTATACATTTTGACATCATATATATTATTCTTTTTAACATTATAGACATTTTATTAAAAATTTAAATAATTATTGTTCAGGAGTTTAATTTGAAAACTATAAATGTTTGGTTTCCCTGTGTATTTATTAGTTCTTTAATCCATTGTATATATTTCCTTCTTTTAATAATTTTTATGATTTTTTATTTATTTAATTCATTATTCTACTTTATTTGAAAAATATATCCTGTTTAATTTTATAATATTCTGATGAAAAATTACTTTTTGTATTTTATAATTTATATATTTTTTTAATACTATTAGTCCACATATAATAATTTTAAAATTTATAGGTATATATAGCTTACTTTAATTAAAAAATAATTTATAAGAGAATAAGACAGTGTGCTTATAAAAAATAGGTCATTTTACAAGGAAAAGTATTTGAAATACATTAAATTTATAGCTTTCTTATGATTATTCCCTACACTAGAAATAAAATAAAATATGAAGTGTTTCAATAATAATAGAAAATTAAAAAATAGTTTAATGTTATGATTTATTTGTTCATATGTATTATAAATAATTGAAAATTTCTCTATATTTACATATTATAATTTTTATATGGTGTGCTTTAATCATTCTAATAATATTTTTAATCACAATATACTTTATTTATAATATATTATACACTATATAACCTTTCATTACACATACTTGTATCAAAGAAAAATTTTAAATAATTCAGTAAATTGATGCCCTAAACAAGTGTATACATACGAGTGAAATAGCTGTATTTTATTATGTTCATGCAAGAAGTTTCAAAATAATATAATAATGATAAAAATATTGCTGTACATATATACAGTGAATATAAATTTTTTTAAATAAAATTACATATTTTTCTATATCAATATATAAAATATTATTTGAACAAAAATTTTATATGTAACAAAAGAGCTTGTTAAATATAAAATTATAATATTATATATCGTAAAATGTATTTAGTAATATATAAAATATAGAGCGAAATAAGAACGCAATACAAATCATATAATTTATATTTATGCACACATATTTACATTATTATATAATATTATAGACAAGATATTTTCGTATTATTAAATACTTAGAATAATATTTGTTGTAGACATATAGAATTTTTAATATTATTTTTCATATGTTAAAATGTTATGTGTATATTTCTTCACTATGTTTTTAGTATTAATATGTGTAATATTATTTCATACAGGTTTTATTAGTATATACAAGAAAAAAATTTATAAAATATAATTTTTTGTTATATATTTTTTTTTTTTTTTTTTTGTATATACTTATTTTATTTGTATTATTAAATTTTTTTTTACATCCTTTTTAATTCATAATATTTTCTTAAATTATATGTATCTTCTGTAAACTCATTTGTAAACACAATTAAAATGAATCAAAAAAAATAAAGAATACATATTTTTTTCACATTATAATGGTCTTCATACTCATTGTGTTTTATACTTAGAACGTGTGGAAAAAATGAATTGCATTTGTATTATTTAATGTTTATCCTCTTGAATTTGATATTATATTATGCATAGCTATTAACGAAGAAGGAAATATCTACGTATTATTATATTTTACATATACACCATACATTTTTATAAATGTATAAACAAAGGAATTTATATTTTAAGCATAATATAAACATATATATAGGATAAGAACGGAGGATATAGAATATATATATATGCATACAATGTAGTGAAACAATATTGAGTAATTTTAAAGAAATTAATATTTTATAGCTTTCCTTTCTTTGTGTAATACAGCTATAGGGACGGAAAACTCTATATATTAAACACGTTACAATTATTAACAAATGATATTACTATAAATTT